TTTTTCGATAAGAATCAGTTTCTGTTTGATCAATTAATTTTAAAAATACTTATGAATCGCAATTAGTATTTGGCCAATCTTTTAAAAAAAATATTTCTCAACTTCTATTGATAATGGTTATTAATTTTTACCAACCATATCCAATTGTAATTTTTATCAACCAGATAAAAAAGTCTATTATTAAAAAAAACACTTTTTCAAGGAAAATCTATTTCTTTTAGATTTTGAAAATTAGTTTTTGCTACTTGTCAAAAACACTCGTTTTCTCCTAAAAATTATGATCAAATACCACTTTTGGGGACAAACGGGCTATTAGAGTTCTCCTATGTAAATTCGAAATCATGCTATTATTCATAAAATGTGACACCCATCGCCTCAAAATCCTAGATCCGCCACTGATCTTGCTCGCCTCCTTTCCATTTTGCTCGTCTCTTTTCCTATTTTAGTGTATCAATAGCAAATACGTGTATCTAGGTGTATCGTTCTCAATATATGATAGAAAATTCTTAATTAACAATAAGATACCTAATTATTTAAAAATATAAATACAATTAATATATATAGTATGAATGTAGGTCTAATAAGATAGTTTTGAATGACATTTTTTACCTTCTAAAAATGAAATTGGTCAAATAGACTATAAAACTTGTCCCCAAGTATTAGTTTGGATGGACAACTAAATTAATGAATTATTAAAAGTAAAAGATACACTCCTTTTGAACAAATTAAAACAATAAAGTATCTCCTTTGAACTTCGAGAAGTCTTCTTCAATACATTATGAGTCAAATTTGAAAACTTATATAGTCAATTTCAAAAAAAAATTGAAGTTGAAGAATAAGTAATTGTTATATTAAAATATTATATAAAAAATAAATACTACATTAGAGTCTTTCTTGTACACGTACCCCTACATTGGGCACACTACATTAGAAACTAGCTAATGTAAAATTTAGGTTATATTTATATTTTACTCTTATTTTATTTGGCATAAGTAAAATTAGACTTTTTAAAATAGTCATATCATCTATGTTTCTTTTTTATAGTCATACGATTTTATTAGTGTTTGTATTTTTGTTAAAATGTATGTATAGGACTAGAACATGTATTGAAGTACATAATATTTATAGGACTGACAAAAATTCTTTAAACATTTTTAGACTTTAAAAAGTGATTAATCAAGAGAATATGAACGAACGCCAAAATATAAAATGTAAAGCACAACAAATTTAAGCAATTAATACTTTTTTTTTCTTTTTTTTTTATGACAAGGGAAACCCGCAGCCGCTACCCTTTGGGTGCGCACAGGATAAAACCCCCGCTCCTATGCAATAGCTCGCAAACCACATAGGAGAGGTAACCCGCACTATGCAAACCCGGTGCGACGAGCTCGACCCAGAAGGCAAACTCCTTGCTAAAGCAAGCAAGGGGTTTCGAACTTGAGACCTCCAACATGAAAGTCCCAAACCCAAAATATAAAAAGGTAAACACACAAAAAAGTTAATTTGACCTTACAAAATCATGATACCATAGAAATAATTTGACCTTACAAAATCATGATACCATCACCGAATACAGTATGAGTCGATCGGTATAATTATTTTGTAAAAAAAATATTTTTCAATTTTTTCATGTTCGATTGATTAAGTAATTTTGAGAAAGAAACCATCTAAGAAAATAAATTCCTTAAAAATGAGTTCCCTAAAAAATGTAGGGGAAACAAATTCTTCTACTTATGAAATTCCGCATTAATAATGTCATCATCACCCTACAACATACTTCATCATCCCACACCTCTGTCTCTCATAGTATTTATCTTATATATATACAAATATTTGAAGTATTATACCTTTTACTTAATTATCGAATATAAAAAAAACATTTTTCAATGCATCCTAAATATTTCTCGAGCTAGAACAATTTTTAGATAATTTAACGCCACACAATAAATTGTTTGTATTTCAAAGAAAATGACCCCAAGAATTGGGAAAAAAAGTAGACAAAAACAATCATAAAACACGGAGAAAATTTGCATGGCACAACAAACTTCATTTGGCGTGTTAAGTTGGTTCATTTGACTAATACACATACAATGTGGACCATACTTGTTTCTCGAAAGTCAAATTGTTTGAACTTTCATTAAATTATTTTGTGATATATTTTTTCATCATATTAATTTAAGAAAAATTGTAACTTATATAGTTATACTCCCTCTATCCCTTATGCAGCACTAAGCAGTTTAAATTTGATCGAAATTTTCACATAAAATTATCAAAAAAAATTAAATAAAATTTATATATTTGTAAACTAAGTAAAAAGTACTATAATTCATAATAATTGACAAGAAAAATTTACGATAAAAAATAAACTCATTTAAATCTCGAAATTCAAAAAAGACATAAATTATGACAAAAGGAATAATATTTTTAGCTCCAAAAACTAATCTTGACCCACGTGAAACAAAACATGAGAAGTAAAAATGAACAGAATGAGTAAAAAAATTCAATCAAATATTATAGTAAAATAGATAAAATTCATTCGCCTATAGCCAAAGATTTGAAGTTTGAATCTTAGTTACAATAAAAAAAATTCATCTTAATTCAATTACGAAACGAATTTAAATTAATCAGAACCTCATATCCGATATCAACCTCCCACTTGGTCAAGTCAACTCTATTTTTCCATTTGACTACTTTTCCTTCACATAAACCAATTTCTCTTTCTTCTTTTTTCCTTCAAAGGCGCATTAAGTTTATGCCTTTCACGTGTCAAGTTTTTATAGGTTTTTGAAGTTGACATCTTTAGATTTTTAATAAAAGTCTACGTCAACTCCTAAAAATCAAATCTAACCGTCTGATCTCTTTTAATACTATAATTTAACGATCAAGATTAAAGGAAAATAGTTTACCGGCTGTAGCCGGTTGACAAAAGTTGGTCAACTAAAGAAGAAAAGGATCTGTGCTTCCCATGTGATTTCCACCAAGAAGAAAAGTCAGCTTTCTTTTGCTTTAATTTTATTTTTTTATTTCTTATTTAAGTAAATGTTAGCTTTGGGAATCTATTTGT